GAATGAATTCTTAACAAACTTGGAGTTTAAATATTGACTGGACAGTCATAAGCAAAGGGTTTGCAGGAGACATCCTGTTCTGTTCACTTTATTGTGAGTAAAAAAAGATCCCATAATTAATTTTAGGTAGTGTCTAAATAAGAAGCACTTAGTTCTCTGTCGAGAATAGTCTGTGTTTTGTGTTTGATCACAGTTTAATCAACACTGGGGTCTCTTATCCAGTCCAGGAAGGAGCCCACAACAACTCCTGTGCCAATAGTGAGTAGACCATTGAAAATCAAAACTAGAGGTACATTCTATAGAATTTTGAAGCCCCTTAACCACATTTACATTTTTTAACATCTTCTTCCAAATATATATGCCAGGAAAATTTATATGATGGTTCACCAACTTCTAATTTCTTCTAGGAAACCCTCTAAAACAGCCAGCAGAAGTGAACACAACTTCTTCAGTCAACATGCAGCATCCTCACACAGCACCTTTGGGTGATCTGAGCCCTCTGCCCTGTGAAAGAAGCGGGGTCCTCAGGCAGTGCACAGTGCCTGGAAAAAGGCACTGCAGCACCATTGCCCCAGGGAAGCTGGGCTGAGGCAGGGTGTGACAGACATCTTGCAGAGTCAGAAGGTGAGATTCAGGGCACTTGAAGCTTGTATGCTGTAGAGCACAATGCCAACCAGAGAGGTGTAAGCAAGCCAAAAGCCTGGGACAAACATCAGCCTTGGTGGATCATTGGGTGGGATATATCATACTAAGACATCACTAAAGCATTAACCAGAGCAGATTCCATACAAGCTGTGAGCAGTACATGAACTGCCTGTGCAAGAATGAGCTACTGAGGTTGGGGAGGGGCTACAAGGCAGCATTCTGCTAAATATGCCTGCAAAATAACCAGGTGGGAGTGATGGAGTAAGGGGACATTTGGTGAGCACTTACCAGTGCCACTGAGAGAGATGGCAAGAACACGCCCCGACTAAGGCACATACATAAGATAATACATTATTATTTTGAGCACTGCACAAATAAACAAGTCACAGACTTTGCTCCAGCACAGCAGAACCAGAACATGCTGTGCCCATAGCGTGCCACAGATATTAACAGTTTGTCTGCTCGATGTGAGTGTGTTGGTGCTGTGTCCTCTGGGCTGTGCTCCCAGACTGGCCTTTGCTGCTGAGCTGACACTGCAGTTGCTCTGCTTGGAGCAAGAAGACATCACTGACAGCACCAGGCAGCACAGCGCAGCTCCAGGGTGTCTGAGGCTGCAGTACTGACATGTAGACGAGGAAGGACCAGAGAACAACAGCAAACTAACAACCAATTGACTCCTCCTTGCTGAGGTGTATGATTCTGCCAAGTTCTGAATTTCAATAGATTTATTAGGACAGCATTTTTAAAAAGGGCAGCTCTGCTTTTCCCTGCAGAAATAGCATTTGTTTATACCTCAGAGTCCAACCAATGGCCAGGGACCACCCATGAATAACATAAGCCTGAGAATATTTCTGAGAAGCTCAAACATAAAATTACACATTATTTACACTAGTATTTTTGGTATCATCTGTCAACTGTTAACTGCAGAAGTTAATCCAAATAAATGAGGATGCTGTTTTGTTAATTTGCTTATGAGAAGTAATTGCAGTGCAGTGGATTACTGGTTACTGACAGCACAACAGATCATCTTTTCAGAGGGAATTATCTCCTTAGGAAGGTAACAGGGTGTCAAGCAGAGCTCAGAAAGAGGCAGTTTTGAGAAAAGGACTAAAAAGGACTATGGTGAATCTGGTGAGTCTCTCTTACAGCATCTCATCATAGCCAGCACAAGGTGCTTCAGAGAGAGCTGCAAGAGCCTTTTAAATGGGTTTTGAATCACTCTAGTGCTGAACAAGAACCTGTTTTAGAGTGGTTCTGTAGACACCTGTTTCTGAGCAGCCAGCCACCAGGTAAAGAAGGACAAGTGGGTGGGAGCAGCCACCTGCCAGTGCCAAACAGCACCTCTGGAACCTGCTTGAACAACATTTTTCTATTCCCTCCTAGATTAGCATCATCCTCATGCCCTGGGATTAAGCCAATTGATCAGCACTGTTTTTGTTTGCTAGAAAGCTGCAAAGCAGCTCGGATTTGCCCCCAGTTAGGATTTTATAGGATGTGCAGGAAATTCTCAAGAGGTTTTCAATCTCCACTAGGTCATGGCTACCAGAATTACTCAAAAGAACTGAGATTCATTTCACTTTACTGTACATATCTAAACGTTAATCATCTTTATCTAAGCAAGTCACCCTGGGCTCCCTTCTGACTTGGTGGAGAGAAATGGGCCCCCCCAAAAGGCAGCTCATTCCATCTTCCCGCAGAGGATGCCTGAGATGGATGAGAGGAGTTGCCTTCTGGAGGTGTCTATTTCTCTCCATTAGCTATACAGAGAGCCTGAGGTGATGTGCTTGCACTCTGGTGATTAACTCACAGTGTCAGAAGCTAAAGGCAGATGAATCCCATGTGCAGTGCATCAGCATTTGAGCAGCCAGCCCTGCAGACAGAAGGGATGGGGTTACAGAGCACACTGCTGGTAGAGCCACTCTGGTGGCTCCTTCTAGCACTGCAGAGACCTGGTGATGTGTCCAGTGACCATCTAGGAAAGAAATAGCAACCTAAATGCAAAGAATGGATCAGGAAAGGAGAAGGGCAATACGTTAAAGAACGACAAAAAGAAATGTGTGCAGATAGCAACCAGCCCATAATTCCCTGCTGGGTGTTTCCTGCCCAAAACATCATGGCTCAGTATGACCAGCTATATCTGAATGACCCAGAACTGAAGTAAGGCAGACTGTGGTTAGCTCACAAGATGGTCCATGCTACTTTTCCCTGTGCATCCACAGTCCTGCCATGATGGAAATTTGGTAGACTGAACAGATGCATGAACACATACCTGAATGCATATGAAGCCTTGTCTGAAAGGCATGTTGCTTTCTATGGCAAGACATTTGTGATATCTGAAAGGAAGAAACTCATCATCTACCTACAAATATGCCTAGAAAATCACTGATCTGTTTGGAGGAGTATAGCTGGGAAGCAGTAAGAGACGATCCAGTTATAGTGATTCCTCCCCACCGTGCAAGCTGAGTACTCATCCCCAGTATCACTTTATAGAAATTAAAGAGTCCTCTTATCACCACTCAGAGCTGGGCCGATAAGACACAAAACTCTCTTGAGTACCAGCCTGGTGCCATAATTACTGACTAATGCTGCCTCTGTAGCCTGTCACAAGAACAGTTTTTGGCAGTCATTTCAGCTCCTTTCACAGTCACATGAAATTAATTTAATTAGTTTTTAAAATCTAAAGAATAATGGGATTTAATTGACTTAATGTGAAACTTTCTGGGCTGTCACTCCACCCAGCTTCCGATCAACTTGAAATCATTCAGCTGTGAGTGACTGATATTTGTGCCTTTCATTGAGAACACTTTGTTTCAGTTAAAATCCTTCCTTCCATCCTTAATTTTTGCATAATATTGCTTTTATTTTTCAGTCTCTGTTTTCATTTTCTGGTACCCTGGATGAAGGGCTCTCCATGTGGGATTGATACAGCCAGCTCCTGCTCCTGGAAGTTTGTTTTACCTGTAGCTGCAGTATTTTAGGGGAATGTATTTTAGGGAACTCTACATTTTAGATGTAGAGTTGCTGCCAGTGACACATGTCAGAATGGAGTCAGACAGCAAGTTGTTTTATACCACCATGCACATATCTAAATACATACTAATCATGATGATGGCCCTGCTGAAGATTATGGCCCTGTTGTGGCTGATATATGAGTACATGTCGGCCTTATCATCCTCCTCTAATGCCCAGACAGAAGAGATGTCAGTAACTCCATGGAAAGTCCAAGACAGAAGTTTTATTCAGCACTGATGACCATAAAAAATGCTTGGGAATCTCATTCCTTTGTTGTTCAAAATTTGAGAAGTGTATTAGCATGTCATTAATGAGATCCAGAGATGGCTCTTTATCTGTGCCATCTTCCACTGTCCTTTTAGATCATGGAGCTCTCCAGCAGTCTTGAATGCACTTCAACAGAAAGCACCAGGACAGATCTCCAGTTTTTCTGTCCCTTTGGTAAAGTGCAAGAGACAGGAACAGAGAGTTAGTGAACAGATTTTTTAAACCAACCCTCCACATTAAAACACAAGGTTCTAAAGCTGTGCATAATAATACCATTTCTGATTAGAGACAACCTCATTAGAATAAAACAGAGGTTCTTTTACTTTCCTTCTTCACTTCTTGTTTGCCTAGCATCTCATGCATCCTTCCTTCCTTAGAAAAGTAGAAGCTTTTTAAGACTCTCCTGTGGGATTTTTATCCAAATTATTTGGTATGTGGGGAAGCTTCCATCCTACCTATTTTTGTAGAAAATATAGCATCGAAGCTGCATTTGACAAAGTTTAAAATTACTAGTAGAATTCTGTCATTCTCAGAGGGAACAACTACTTGATTTGTAGTCATTGATGGCCTCTAAACTCCCTCTATGGTACTTCCATGGAATATGTATCGCTCTGTACAGTGTATACATTGCAAAACTGAGCGACTCCACTCCCGTGTGTTTGGACAGCGGGGACGCAACGTTACAATCCCAAAACACGCTCGCAAGCCCACATGGTTCTCACTCCAGCTCCGCCTGCTCCAGGAGCGCATCTCCGGCATCGGTCGGCACCGGGAGGCCAGGGACGGACTGCGAAGAGCGGGCAAGCCCCGAGCAGGCTCTCCTGGTTCCCAGGCAGCCCCCGCACCAGGTACCAGCCCTCGGAAGCGCCCTGCCCGGGCAGGGCGGCAGCTGAGCCGCCCCACGCCCCGACAGGGCAGGGACAGCGCCCCGGCACGGGCCCAGCAGCGCCCCCGGCACGGGACAAGCACGGGCAGGAGCGGTGCCGGTGACTCGGCCAGCGGTGCCCAGCGGTGCCCAGCGGTGCCCAGCGGTGCCCGGCCGTGCCCAGCGATACCGGCGGTGCCCGGCGGCGGGCGGAGGTGCTCCTCGGCGGGGAGGGGGCGGTGCCGTGTTGCCGCCGCCGCGGAGCGCCACGGAGCTGCTGCATCCTCATCCTCATCCTTATCTTCATCCTCTCATCCTCATCCTCATCCTCCCCTCCCCTCCCCTCCCTGGGCGCGACCCCGCCGGCTCCCCCCGCCCAGGGGGCGGGAAGCAGCGGGCTGCCCGCGGTGGCGGCGCGCCCCGAAGCGGCTCCCTCCGCACGGCGTTTCCCCCACCCCGCCGCTCCGCCGATAAATCCCCGAGCCGGGGGCAGCGCGGCACTCGGCGGCTGCCGCGCTGCGGGGAGGCGGCGGAGCTCGGCCCCCTCCCCGCGGCGGGGACCCCGACACGGGCAGCAGGAGCTCAGGTGAGCGCCCGGGGCTGGGGGAGGAACGGGGCCGTGCGGGGCTCGCAGGGAGCAGCGGGAGTGTGCGGGGCGCTTCGTCTGACCCGTGAGGGGACCTGCTGCCAGGGGGAACCCCGCTGGCACAGCGGCGTGCTGGCAGCAAGATGCTGCCCTACGGTTTCTGCGTGAACCGGGAAGTTTTCCTTGGTGAGCTTTGAGGCGGGGTCCCGGAGGGCTCCCTGGGGGCTCGGGGCTCTGCCCAGGGCTGTGGCACCGCGGGAAGCTCGCAGAGAGGTGAGCGGCGGGGGTGCGCACCCAGCGCGGCTCCCCCGAGGCGCCCGGTGAGCAGCGGGAGCTCCGGGGCTGCCCGGCATCCCCCGTCCCTGCCCGTGCTGCTGGAGGTCCTCTCTAAAGTACCCCTCAACAGGTAAAAAGGTCAGTGCTCTCCCCTTGCTTTCTCACACCGGAGTCGGGGCTGAATGGTGACATGATGCACAGGATGTGAAAATACTTATTCTCAGTACTGTGCGAGGTAGACTGTATTCCTTGCTTCGGGAATGGACCTCCAGGGGCATGGAATGCAGGTGTTGAGCTGTTCATCTGCCTGGTAGTCCTTGTGACTCAAAACGAGCAGCAGGTGGAATCGAGACCTTCATTTGGCTAGAGGCTGTACGGTCCTTCAGTGTCTAGGCAGATGGCGAGCAGAAAAGAGGGTTAGTTCATTTTATTGTTTGTAACCACCCTTTCACTTCAAGTTTGAGTCCACGGCAACTAAATGGCATGCTATTGACAGCATAAGGCATTTAATCTGTGTTTAGTTATTTCCTGGTGGCTGGGAATCTTACAGAAAAAATTCTGAAATGTTTAGTTTCAAAGGATTGGAATTGCCATGAGATCACGCATTCAAAAAAACTGGGGCTCTAAGTTTAAAAAGAAAAAAAAAAACACCAAATCTGCACCTCTAATGATGCACTAATTTCCCATAGAGAGACATGAAAAAATAGCATCGACCCAGCAAAGTGCTTGTTAAATTCAAGTGAGGGCTTACATACTATGAGCTTCGGTGGAATTACTCAGAAGCTAAAGGCAAGGCTGAAGGCAAATGTGCTTCTGTGATTCCCCAAACCAGGGCTTAAGTACTGTTCATTGAAGTGTTCAGTTGCATGAATCACACTCATTCAAAAGTTCAAGGCAGACCAAATCAGAGAAAACATGGACTGAAAGCATTGTCAGCTCCTCTGCACAGGAACCAGGTAATCACCAGCCCTGTGGATTTTTCTCAGGATTTTTTAGGAGGTCTCTAAGTATAGAGTGAGCAGATCTTGACTGTCTTGAAATGCAGATTGCAATCTCCTAGGAGCCAATAGCCCTCCATGATCATGGGTTGGCTTCAGCCTATCTTTGCATTTCAGTCATGTCTCAAACTTTGGGACTTGGGAGGGCACCTTTTATGGTATCTGCCCAATTTAAAAAATACAAGCACACAGAAAAGCTCTTATTTCTAAAAACCATTATTTCAAATTCATTTATAAGCACCAAAAGCATAGATTATTGTGCACCAGATACAGAGATAATTTTGAGGAACCAGAGCACTTGCCAGCATGAAAAAAGGACAACATTATATAATTATCATGTCCAAAGAGTAGCATTTATTTCTAAATATCTTTGTTCTTCTGCAAGGTAGTCTTGGATTCCTATGAAATTAGAGAAAACTGTACTTAACTGTTCCCTGTTTTTCTTCTATTGACAAAGTCCTGTGCATGCTGAAACAATCTGTATCCTTGGATATCTTCCCATTCTTTTCAGGATGCAGATAAACATACCTGTCGTAAGAACTTTAAGAAATTTAAGATGTATGTTTGCTTGTATTGTTGTTTAACAACTTCAGGAATGTACAGGCAGAGGCAGTGTTGGTTTTGCTGTTCTGAGCTTCAGCCTGTTGCTGTTGATAATGTGCCTTTGTTGATGTTGGGGGCAGTTTTGGGGTTTTTCTTTTTCTTTTCTCTGTAAAACCCACCAGCTTCACCAAGTGGCCACGTAAAGACAGTGAATGTCAACTTTAAAATCTGTGTTTCCTTGATCCTGGTATTTCTGCTGAAATCCTGGTGCCCCTTGCTGGCAATTGCATTAATAAGCAAAGAGGAAACTGGCAGAGGCCCCTTTCTGACTGAGGGATTTGGATTTAGCATAACTTCCCTGTAAGAATGATACTTAAGACATAAGAATCTCTTCCAGGACACAAAGGAAGGAGTCTTGTATATTAAAAAAGGAGGAAAAAAATTCCCAATGCAAACAACAAGAAAAGCCTTAAATCAGTTGAAAGCTGTTTGGAGGGTCATTGGGCAAACACATGGAGCACACCAGGAGAAAGGAAAAAGGTCACCATGCCAAACTCAACTCCATCTAATTGCATTAAGTCTGTCAAATTAATCCCTGGCACAACTTGGCTGAAAATATTTCTCTGTGTCTCTGTAAGTGACTCGTGTATTAAAAAGGCAAGCACCTATTTCTCCACATGCTCATGTAAATGTGTCTGTTTATGAACAGCCCTCTCAACAGCATTTGGCCTGGGTAAAATGAAACACCTGCCCAAGATTTTACTTCTGCAAACAGCTGGTGGATTAGCCCTTCTAAACCTTTTTACACAGAAAATTTTGTGCTCTTGATGGTCCTGGCAGTAATAAATGTGGGGTCTGTGGAGGTCAGTGTGGTGGGAAGTTCAGCAGGTAGAGATGAGGTCAGAATTTGAATGTAGCTGAGGTGAAGCAGAGATGTGATCTGCAGAAATGAGTTCAGGAAGGCCAGGTAGGGAGCATCATGCTGAGCTGGGAATAATCTGCTGCACAAATGTAGTATGGAAAGCAGCTTGCCTGGTAGCACTTCTACCAGTAAAAAAAGCAGTGCTGAGAGAAAGCCAGACCCTTCACCATGCTGCTCAAGGAGGACTGCAACCTACAAAATATGTGGTGGGATCTGGTCCCACAGCTCGATGTTGGTGGGGTCTTGGCTGAAGGAGTCTGCCACTTGGGACACAGCTGTCAATTACCTGGTGAGGGTGCAGGGAAGGGCTTAAAAAACATGGCCTGGAGGAGATTAATCAGGCTCCTTAACCTCAAGAGTGAACTGAAGCAGGACGTGCTTGCAGCCTCCAGATTTATAAAGCTGCTCCCTGTGCAGCCAGTATGGACTCAAGCGCCCCTGGAACCATGGTGTTGGACCTGCTGAGAAACTTCCCACAGGGAAGCAGCAGTTGTACTCCTATCCAAGCAAGGAAACACCCTGAAAGACCCACAGGGTATATCCTTGGATATCCTGGGCTTGGGTAGCACTTGGCAAGGGTGCTTTTGTAACAGGGAGCTACTCCTACAAAGGGGTATTTTTCTTTAGTCTCATGGACAGCAAAGTCCAAAGTGGAGTTTTTGGTAGCACCCAAACCATCATTCACTCTGCAGTACTACCAAAATATATCCAGCAGTACCATATCAGCAGCTCATCGAATACAATTTAAAATGTTTGGGGGGCAGTGTATTGCAAGTCCCCAGCATTGTCACTTGGTTACTACCACTGGAAACCCTGTTCCTTTACGCTTCTGGCCAAATGCCATGGCTTCAGCCTGGCAGGGAACAGGATGCACTGAGACCTTTAGCACCACACTTGCAGAATTATCTCTTTTTCTCTGCAAGACTTTCCAAGTACAGATATCCTGGAGGAATATCATGCTGACAGCTTCTAATTATGCTACTGGTTGATTTACCAATTTATGCTCTTTTAAGAGCTAGAAGTCAAGGAAGGCCAGGAATGTTCCCTTCCCTGAGCCCACATCTCAGATGATGTGGCATCTCTTTGGCAGAGCCTTTCAGAGGAGGGGAGTAACACACATCCAGTTCTCCAGGATGACAGCCCCCAGTCCCAGCATGGGCTAGCTGAGCCTTGGACTGTTTCCTGTCCCTCCAGACACTCTCTTTTTACCTCTGGGCATTTTTGCAACTGCCTGTGCTGTGGCAGTATCCCACAATATTTGGCAGGGCCTAAATACACTGACTAGCTCCAGATCCACCTCTTTTTTTAATCTGTTTGGAAAGATTTTGGTTTATACTTATAGCATAAAGCAGCACAAAAAGGCAAGATAGTTATAGACCTACACATTTATTTTCTTTAATGTATTCCTCCCCACAAGCTAAATTAGACAGATATTCCTATTAAGGTTTTAGTGGTTCTGGTTTACTTTGTTTCTTTCTTTTTTTTTTTTTTTTTATAATCAAGCAGCCCAGGCTATCTGCTACCCCAGACAGCCACTGCTACTTTTTCTTTAATGTATTCCTCCCCACAAGCTAAATTAGACAGATATTCCTATTAAGGTTTTAGTGGTTCTGGTTTATTTTGTTTATTTCTTTTTTTATAATCTGGCAGGCCAGGCTATCTGCTACCCCAGACAGCGATTGCTACCTGCCCTGCTGTTCTGCTCTTTTGTCTTTTTTTTTCTTTTCTTTTTTAATACCCATTACAAATACTCATATAAATACCCATTTTAAACTAGGATAAGACCATACAAATGGGGTCCCACATAGCAAAATGCTCTCATGAACTGTGTCTCATGGCCTGGACCCTGTGCTGCTTCTGTCTTCCAGTGTCTTGCCTGTAGGAGACAAATTTGAAGCCAAGCATAAAAAATAAAAAAAACTGAAAAGCACCATTCAGAAAGATTTATGATCCTGTTTCATTAGGGATGCATATGTGGAATTATTCCCTGCCTGAAAGCACTGACTCAGAGCTCACATGTAAATTGCCAGGATAATTCCACTATTCCATGTTTCACAGAATTCAATGTTCCGTGCTTTGCTTCAAGTGTTTTGTTGATGAAAATCTTTCCATTTTCTCATGGAGTTTTGTAGACTGTTGAGCTGTAAGTATGTTGTCCTGACTTACAAACACAAAATGACTGCCAAACAAATTAATATCTTAATTTTAAACTGGACAGCTTCCGATCAACACCACTCTGTTCTTGCAGTAATGCTTCTGAG